TGCTGAGGTTTCAAAAAAGGCCGGGACCGCTCTCACCTCCTCAGGCCAAGTGCTGGAAAACCAGTGAGTGCCAAAAATTGCCGCAAAGCCAACCGAGGCCGCGGCGTCCGAGACGACCCACGGAGAGGATGCCGTGGCCTGCGGTATAAACATGGAAATCCCATTCCACCTCCGCAGAAACTCATCCCACATCAGCAAATCGGCCCGTCCGGCCGCGTCCACGTGTAGCAGGGCATCGAGATCGGTGGCCGTTGGCAGCAGAGCCAACAACCTGGAAATGAAGGACCGCCCCTGCGGTATGATCCTCATGGCAAAGTTCAACATCCCCAAAACCGACTGCAAATGCCTCCTCGTACACTGCGGAGACACTACCAGCCCATGCAACCCCTCCCGAATCCTCTCGAGTTTATCCTGAGGCAGGCTAGCCTGCAAGGACTCCGTATCTAACGTAATGCCCAGGAAAGTAATGACCTTTGCGGGACCTTCCACCTTCTTAGACGCCACCGGTACATTGAGAACCCCAAAGATTTGCAACAACAACACCAAATCTCGTGGAGCCGTAACCGGGGACTCGATGAGCAAAAAATCGTCCAAATAATGCAGCACCTTCTGGCAGTGGACATGATGTTCCAAAATCCAATGTAGGGCCTGAGCCCAGCGAAATGCCTGCAAAACAGCTCCGTGTCCACTCGACTCCAGTTAGTGACAAACTGGAATTGGGACAATGCGGCCGCTGCCTTCGCAGAGACCGCCCTGTGGTAGTCGTAGAAAGAAAACCCACCGTACTTGTAGCCCAGATCTACCACTGCGTGTAAGTACGAATCCAGCTCCTCCCTCCTATGTGGGCTAACCGTACAAATGACGTCCCGGAAGATGCTGAATGCCAAGACAAACTCCGGAATCGACAGCTTCCGGTTCAACCGGGCATCCCTCGCCTTCAACACCACCGACACCTCCCCACATGAGTACGACTTGTTGTCCGCCACGTCGTGGGCCGCTATCAACAGCGACGCCAGGTTGACATCCTTGCCCTCCAAGATGTCCTTTTTAAGGTGTGCCGGGACAAAATGTGCCGGAGTAACAATGGAAGGGAAGCAGCTCGTACCTGGATCTGCCACTGCCACCGTCCCTGACGTACTCGCAACCACCAGTGGGACGCTACCCACGACCAGATCCCCTCCCACCGTGGCAGGCACGGCCTGCCTCTCCAGGGCTACAGTCCTGTCCCGCAACTCCTGAACGGACGTGCTCATCGCGTTCATCGAAGCATGCAACTGCGTCAACGATGCAGTGATCGTACGCAATGCCACCAGCGTGGCCCCTTCACCGGCTGCCGGAGGCGGGAACAAAAGTCTGAACAGCTCGGCCTTCCTGGCAGTGGCCGAGTAAGGAATCCCCCTGAGCTGAAGCTCCGCGACTATCCTCGGTATAGTCCAAGCCCGGAGGGACGGCGGGCTACCCTGCTCCGAACCCCTGGCCGGGGTGGCCCCAGCTGGAGTGCCCCTCGCTGGAGTACCCCTTGCCGAAGTCCCCCTCGCCGGAGTACCCTTCTCCGAAGTTGCCGGCAGCGAGACATAGTCCTCGATGTCCAAAGCATGCGACATCCCGACAGTCACTGTAACGACAGGAAATGACCGTAACAGGACTGCGTCCCCCAACCAACCTCGCCACTGCAAGCGAAAGCGCAACAGTACCAACCCACCGAGAACCTAAAATACGGCAAGGTAAGTGCGCCCCTGCAATCAGTGACCCCCCCGCTCACCACCCTTTACGAACAACGACCACCCCCCTGAGAGTCCAGCGGCCTGAACCAAACGTACCCAGAAAAGGAAGCGGGACAGAGATCGGTGGCCCAGCGGCCTGGCACCACCCGTGTCACCACCCCTATGCGACCCGCACCAAATGACGACGGTCCAGCGGCCTGAACCAAACGTGCCCACTACACTAACCCTAAACTACACTAACTGACCTGACGTGACAGTCCAGCGGCCTGAACCAAACGTGCCTCCCCAGCACCCGACCAGCGGCCAGAACAGGTACCTGCAGCAGCGATTTCTCTGATGGCCGCAGCGTCGATCTGCCACCCGAAAGAAGCCCAGCAAGCAGCCCAGTACACGCTCGTCCGTCCGGACCGGAAGTGACGTCACAGTCAGACGCGACTTCGCCGTGACGTGACGAGGAGCTCCCTGTCCCCCTTCTTAAGGGGAGGAGAGCCGGCGCAACTCCTCCCACAAACACGGCCAAGATACCTTGGCCTATTACTTGTATGCTTCCCATCAACTGAAAGATTTTCGGCCGAAAATGCTGTCGCAGATAAAAATCTTCAGATAATTGTAAGGTGTATGGGCACCTTTTTAGATGTTGTTTTTATACCCAATAATGTTACTGACCTGTTGCCAATTGCCCTAATTTAGTTGCATAATGTTCTTCCAGCTCTTTCTTCTTAGTACCACTTACTTTGCCAGCTTTTTGTTGTCCAGTCCCAGCTTTTTTGAGATTGTGAATACAATTTGGGTTTATGGGATTTGAAAATCATTGCATTATGTAGATTTTACACAGCATTCCAACTTGTTTTGAAATTGGGGTTGTAAATAAAAGCACTGGTATGTTTAAGGATTTATTAACATTTATTGAACATTTCTAACATGAGCTTTCTTTTGGGGAAAAAAAGTTAAATCAGTGATTTTAGTTCCATTTTAAGTTCTTTTGTAAATAAACAAGCCCATAGTAAATTGTAAACATTGGTCTGGTCCATAGTTGGGTATAACAGTGTGACAACTAAAGTGGTTGAAGTATCTGAAGCCACATTTTTTTCATACATTTTTTACACACACCTACAAAAAAGATATACAATTGACACAATCACATGATCTCCTATTACTGCCAAAACAGGAAATTCCCTTTTTAATAGTGTTAACAAAGGAAACAACAGAATATTTTACAAGGCAAATTCTAGGATAAAGCTAAACTTGAAATAAATAAATTCCTTAATCAGCCATTATTTATACAGATCTGTACATCCCACCTTTTAAAAGAATTACAATTTTGGTTGAAAGATAGCCAAAAGGCATCTTGCTTTAAAGCATGAGTATTTGGGTGCCATGCTGTATCTCCTCCATCTAAAAGAAATGTGTTTTCCGTTAGAAGAAAGGAAGGCAATAAAACCTGAGCCCCTCTCTGTAAACTATTGTTAAAAGCAGGGCTTTTTTTCTAGCGGCATGCACCGGTACTCAGTACCGGCACTTACCGCCAGCCCTTTATTTTTTTTTGTGCTATAGAATCGCAAATTTTTAAAAAAAAGGTACCATCACTTGTTTGTATATGTGCAGGGTGATGACGCTTGTCTTTGGGCACCGTTTACCACAGAAAAGATGGCCACCGACAGTAAACCTCATTGCCGGGTGGCCTTACGCAAGCCTGGCAAATCTGCCAGGCTTCCGCAAGGACTCGTCGCCAGGCGAGCCAATGGATATCTATTGGCTTAAATAGCCATGTCCCTGTGGAAGCCTAGCAGATTTCCCAGGCTTCCGTAAGGCCACTTGGCGACCACAGCCAAGATGGCCACCGGCAATGAGGTTTACTGTCGGTGGCCATTTTGGTTGTGGTAGCGTTGACACATTGCGCATGCTCAGTGCGTCCCTGCTACCACAACAAAAATGGCCACTGGCACTGAGGTTTATTGTCAGAAGTCATCTTAGTTGTGCCAGCGGTGATGCACTGCACATGCACAATGCATCCCTGCCCACAACAAAGATGGCCGCCACGTGATTTTTGTGGGCAAAAAGGTGCAGGTTGCCCAGAAAAAAAGCACTGGTTACAAAATATATTAAAAGTAAACAGTGATCCAAATAAAAACTGTATATGTCCTTAAATATATGTGTAGGAATTATTTCAGTATACAAATTTGTTTTAGTTATTTTTAGCTGACTCTGCTATATTTGGCCTACGCGACAATGACCTCTGATCATAAAAGAGTAAGAGGTGTATTTATAAACAATTTTCAGAATCATTCGTCCTACAAAACTCTGAACATTCGTTCAGTGTGAATGGAGACAAAACAAATGTTATAGTCACTAAATGGAGCTGACGAGCATAAGTATTTATTTCCTAGGCTCCTCAGCTTCATCTAGTGGCCATAATGCAGTGTTTTCCGAAGATTTACATTCAACTTGAAAAGAAAATTATACTAAGAATGTTTGTTTTTGTCTCCAGTCACACAGAACGAAAGTTCACAGCGTTTTGGAGGATGAATGCTCCTGCAAATTGTTTATAAATACACATCATAATTTCAATTGAACTGAAGGCAATAGTAGGAGTTATGTGGATATGAAGACCATTATATCTGACAGGCACATTTTTAAATTATTTTAGCCATAGAAACCCCAACTGTACTTCTTTTCCCATTTTTCAAGCTTGTAAGGTGCTGAAGAGCTCCATGCATATGAACACGACACTGGTGTCTTTTTGGTGGAGGAGCTTAGTTGCTTACCCCTAAATGAAAGGCACATACATTTGCTGACTTGTGTAGTGTCCGGTATATAGCAGGCTTTATGTGCCCATACGTTAGCTGCTAGCCATTATGTCTACTGATGATTAGCACTGGTATTTTATGTGATGCTATAGGAGGGGTCACAGACTGATGCTCATCCATGTTCTTGTTATATTAAAAGCCTAGCATTGAACACTGACTCCTCTTCGTTTTCAGATCTGATAAGCAGAGAGCGTGAGCATTGCTAATTGGAGAGCCGTAGCTCTGGCTCAGCGAGGGCATGTCTTACACAGCACAGCCGTCCTCTGATGGAGACAACTGACAGTAGGGGAGCTGCTTTGGTAAACAAACCAATGGTAAGACTTTGAGCACTTACCTTTTTACTGCACCCTAAATGTGTTAATATCATTTTCACTGAGACTTAAATTGTGCTTTAACATTATTGCAGAAATAAAGACTAATAAAACTACTTCAAGTAAACATTTGTTCTTCTGAGTGTTGTATTTTAGGTTTAGCAAGACTGATTCTCCAGCCAGACTATGTGTTTTTGTTCATCTGTGATGGCGCTCTTTACGCTGCAGAGCAGAGATTCGGGGTCATTCCAGCTGTCGGGATCCACAGTTCTATAAAGACAGGGCAGGGCATCGAGCTCTGCCTCCTCCCTCTGGGCGCACTCCAGTAACAGGTCTTCACACTTTCCCCACCATTGCCGAGTTTTTCTAAAAGAAAACACATAAAATGTGTAAGAATTTATTCACATCCATATTTTTCATATCTATATATCTAAATTTGTGTTTCGGCTCTCTATCTCTCTGTCTCTATGTATATGTGACAGAGTTTGTGGAATTACTGTATTGTCACCTATTCATCTTAGAGCTGCATCTGAAATGATAACATACAGCCAAGCTTCTTATGCCAGCCAAGCATCTTCTCTGCTGCAGGCATCCCAATCTGAAAGAATTCATTTCAGGGAGGTGCCCTCTTCCCCTCCATCCGTGGTGGGAGGGGGCACCTTCCTGA